GGAAAAACATATTTTTACCAACTCCACATCTAATACAGGATTAATATCCAATATATATAAAGAACCCAAGGATGTAGATATCAAAAAACTAAGAAGCCAAACAAAGAATCCAAGCTTTAAATGAAGTATATATCTAAACAGAATCTTCAACAGAGGAAACTCAAATGGCTGAGGAACACCTAAAAAAGTTCAACATCCTTAGCCATCAGGGAAATGCAAATCAAAATGATCCTGAGATTCTATCTTAAACCACTCAGAATGGCTAAGATCAAAGACTCAAGTGACAGTCCATGCTGGCAAGGATGTGAAGAAAAAGAAATACTCCTTTGCTGGTGGGAGAGAAAACGTGTATAATCACTCTAGAAATCAATATGGTAGTTCCTCAGAAAGATAGGAGTCAATCTACCTCAAGACCCAGGTATACCACTCTTGGGCATCTATCCAAAGGATAATCCATCCTAACACAAGGACACTTGCTCACCCATGTTCACTGCTGTTCTATTCATAATAGCCAGAAATTGAAAGACCTAGATGTCCCTCAACAGAAGAATGGAGAAATAAAATGTGGTACATTTACACAATGGAGCATTGCTCAGCTGGTTTAAAAAAATGTCATGATATATGCAGATGAATGGATGGAACTAGAAAAAACAAACAACAACCAAGACAAAACACAAACAAACCAAAAACCCAAACAAACAAACCCAAAAGGCATCCTGAGTGAAGTAACTCATACCCAGAAAGATAAACATGGTATGTACTCACTCACTTACGAGTGAACACTAGCTGTTAAGTAAAGGGTAATCATGCTACCATGTGTAGGCCCAGAAGTTAGGCACAGAGGAAGGGAATAAGAGAGACACATGAATTTCTCTTGGAGGGGAATATAGAATAAATTTCATAAATTTTATGAACTGGGGGGGGTAGATGTACTGGAAATGGGAGGGTCAGGTGGACAGGGAGCGAAAGCTTGAAATGAGGGGCATTTGAAGGTTGGTATGGGAACCTAGTGCAATGGAAACTTCCTAAAATATAATAAGAAATCAATCCTAATAAAGTGTCCAAATAAAGGGGGGGTGTAGTCCTAACTGGCCATATCTTGTCACATAAGGAAGCTTCCAGCACCTGGACTAAATTATAACAATGGTCAAATTACAAATGGCCAAAGGGGTCCCATGGAAATCTCAAACAACCCAAACTGTTGCCGAGACAATAGATTACTCTTTGCAAACCGATGGCAAGGTCCCATTGCTGAAGACCACACTCACACAATTCATTGCACAGGAAGAGATTGAGCTGGTGCCTCCACAGAACCTTCACCCTAATATTTTAGTGTTTTTGGCACAGGAAGGTATTCCATACGCTATCAAAGGGAAAACATAAACCACAACCCAGCCACAAAACCATTGCTCTACAATGCTCTCCTGCCTCCAAAATATGCTGGGGCAATGGTGGCACAAAGCTTGTAGGAGTAACCAATCAATGTCTAATTTGACATAAGGTGCACTCCGTGAAATAGAACCTTGTTAGTACCTTACTTCCCTGTCAAAACCTCCTTCCTACCACACTCCTTCAGTGGTGCAGACAAAACCAAGGACCTTTCACTTGGTAGTTTATGTGTTCTACCATTGACTTCCGCCCTCATTCCCACTGTATCTTTTTCTTATATATAGCTTTTTTTTCTTAGTCCACCATCTAAAAATTAGTATTTACTCCTTGTCTGCCTTTTCTATCATCCTACTGGGATTGTGACTGTTTGTATATGCTTGGCCCAGGGAGTGGCATTATTAGAAGGTGTGGCCCTGTTGGAGTAGGTGTGTCACTGTGGGTGTGGGCTTTAAGACTCTACTCCTAGCTGTCTGGAATTGAGTCTTCCACTAGCAGCCTTCAGATGAAGATGTAGAACTCTCAGCAGCTCTTGTATGTACCATGCCTGCCTGGATGCTGTCATGTTCCTGCCTTGATAATACTGGACTGAACCTCTGAACCTGTAAGCCAGCCCCAATTAAATGTTGTCCTTATAAGAGTTGCCTTGGTCATGGTGTCTGTTCAATGTAGACACCCTAACTAAGACAGGGATTTACCTTTGTTTTGCCTCAAGTATATATAACTCCCTGAAGTTCTAGCCTCTATTGTTCCCCTATCTAATCAATTCTGTGTTCTGTATGTGGGTGAGAGTATGTGTGTACATGTCTGGACACATTTGACATACATGTGTACAAGTGTAGATGAGGCCATGAGGTATCAACATCATGTATTTCTCCCTAACTTATTTTGTGAGACAAGGTCTCTCACTCAGCCTAGACATTGCAATCTTAGCTACGCTGGTTGGCCAATTAACTCCTGAAACTCACCTGCCTCTGCACCTCATGGCCTCAGTCCTGGATTGAAAGGAAAACACTGCCATGGCAGGCTTTTTATGTGGGTGCTGGGGATGCAAATTCAGGTTCTCATGCTCACTAGCAAGTTTTACCCACTAAGTCATCTGTTCTTCTTCTCTATTCTTTATTTCTAAACTATACAACTGAACAACTCTTCTTTTTCCAATCTCCTTTCCATTGAAATGTCAGCATATTGTAAGCCTTCATTCCTTGCCCTGGCACTGAAAAACCTCTGCCATTATAGCTACTTCACCTCTCTGGTTATGCTTCTTATGTTCATATTCCTAAACATTTTCTAGCCACACTTCATTGTGTTTCAAGAAACGTCTCTTGCCTTAGCTTTTTCTTATATTCATGTCTTTGTTCAGGACTCCATGCTGGCCCAAACCCTTGCCCATAATTAAGTCCCATTTGTCTCTCAAGGTCAGTCTCAAGTCTCTTTATTCATTCTTCCTAGAAGACTCTAGATACTTATCCCCTCCTCTTCTGCACTCCTGTACTAATTTATTATCTGTTTTATCTGAGAATTAACTGTCAGTAGTAGCATCATGTCTCCCTAACTACCTAAAAGCTCACTGGGGCCAGGAAGTAGAAGTCTACTTTTTGTCCAACACATTGGGCAATGTAACTGAACATCTGGTGGTATATCTATTGAATAGTTTCCAATATATTATTCAATTATCTTGTCAGTTCTCTAATATGTCACTAAGCCCATGATTAACCTTTTGTCACCACAAATGTCAGGCACTACTGGTGACAGAAGATAGGAAAGATTGTTATATACTAGGTGCATGAGGGAAATATTTGCCTGTTTAAGCCTCAAGCAAGATTAAATGCTAAGGTTCTCATAGTGAGGGCTTTGTCCAGCAGCTAGAAATGTTTCTTAATGTATTTAGGTTCCTGAGGCAACTCCACAGAGGTTTGCATTCTGTCCTTATCCAATTCTTCTAAGAGAGTAAACAGGCACATTATTCTTTTCTTTTGAGCATGTGATGGTTGTTAATAGCCAGGTGTTTAATTCACTGGAGTGAATAATGACACATCTATTTCCTGACAATTTTCTCTAGGATTTTTGCATTCCTAAGCTAATAATTAAAATTCAAAATATCCCATGTGACCATTTGTGAAATTGAAAACATTATGTGATATATAAGAAGCATTCCAGTTTGAATAGAAGTAAGCCAAGAGAAAGGCATTGCTCCTCGAGGATAAGAACAGCAGAGCAGTAAAGAATGACCAACTCTTTGTTGCTGCCTCTAATGACGACCTCATTGCCAGAGTGGGGATATACTACTCCATCGGGAAAGGAAGAAGAAAAGAGCAAAGCAGTTAAATACTAGATGCTAAGTCAAGTGAAAACCTATTATCAGATGCTATGGGGAGGACTCTCAATTGAGTGTTATATTGTAGGCCTGCCAGAGGGCTTCATAATATGCTGGAGGCTCCAGTTTAGTCACGTTGGCATGTTACCCCCACGTTGGCATGTTACCCCCACCATAGTCATGAACAGTCAGACGTACAGTTATGACACCAAGTGGTCAGAAGCCTCAGAAACCCCAGGAATATGGGGAAAGATGGATCTTCTCCAGGACATTATTTTTATTTTCTAAGCCTCATTATTACTGAGAATCCTGCTCCAGCCTAAATGTACAAAGCAACTCTCTGCTGTTCATTAGTTATTTAAGATACTAAGATTGTCTGTGATATATTTTCTTTTGGATTTTTAAAATTATATTGTGTGACATCGAGGTCTTTAAAGACTGTGTTCACTTTGCTCCTTTATCTCCAAGACTTTCACAGAAGAATTTTGTTTTAGGGTGAACTCTATATCATTCTAAGTCAAAAGTGACTTCAAGATTTCCCTTATATTCACAAATTCTTTCAAAAATATTTACCTAGCCGCACTGTGATGAGCACACTTTTCTAAGTAAATAAATGGCATGATCCTTTCCATCTTGCAAATTATATAGATTGTAATTGTGGTAGATTCACAGAAGAGCTGATGGAGGCCGGATCTCACAGTCTGAATGGTAGCCCTAAAAAGCACCCTGATGAGCTGTGGGGTAGGCTGCTCTGGTCCTTCCTTCTACATTTCTTTTATAATGGATAGAAAAGGTAGACTTGTATAGCAGTTAAAGACATAAGCCTAGGGATTACAGAGCCTGGGTCCAAATTTTCTTTTGTTTTGTTTTTCAAGAGAGTGCTTATTTCTCCTTGATCTGATTCCTTTCTCTTTTTCAGCCTTAATTTCCTTTAAGTGTTATTATTGTTATTCTGAACACAGGAATTTAAACTGCTGATTGCAACTTTCTTAGTATCATGGATATCTAAGTTAGCTGCACAAAAACATCCTGTACATTTCATCCGTTGGATATACAATGACATATCTGCCAAATGTGTACAGAAGAGTCTAAGTTACATGTTACCAAGGTCTGAGCCTAAGTGAATTTCTCCTATTTGTGAGGCGTTCTAAACAGGTTTCCAAATGATAGCTACATAGACATCCTGGCTGGATCGTCTCTCCTATTTTACTAGTTCTTTGTTTCAACTGATTTTCCAATGTAGTCACTTAAATATTTTCTTATAAGAGTTGTGCGGCTTTGCTACCATTCGCCTTACCTGATGGATTTCTCCCTGTTGGACAGTTTTTATGATGTTAATCCATTCTTCCATGTCTTGCCGGGTAGGTGCAATTAGAGAGAAATGTCGATGTGGTGTGATAACCTAAAGAAAACATCCTATTATTAGTTGATTTTCACCAACAAAGCCCCCTGTCTAAAATCTGAAAATTCTCTATGAAATTAGACATAGTTGCCAAGCATATTCCAAGCCACTTCTTGAATATGACATGTTTCCAGAGCCACCCTCAGCTGCTTTAATAACTATTCAAAACAATAATAATTATGATAGTAATAATTAAGATTTTAATGCCACTTCATAGATGCCAAGAACTATTCCAATGTACTTTTAGGCATATTATTTCCACCAAATTTCATTACGGTCCCCTGAGATGGGCATTGTAATTGTTCCCATTTCATAGCCAGAACAACTGAGACAAGGACAGAGTTACCCAGCAGCTTAAAAAAAAATGAAGCAAATTCTCTGGTTCTTGAATCCCCACTTTTAAGCGTTCAGCTCCATGCCATCTATTTCTAAAATGAGTGTGCCTAACATTTTTACTTGCTCACTGCTGTTCTGTGTGAAGTGGGGAAAGTGTATTTGTTTCAACAGGGTGCCTCTCTTGCTGCATGTGGGCAAAATAAGATGTAAAGAAATCCAGTTTCTTTCTTTATCATAAACAGGGATAAATGGAAGGGCATTTTACAGGAGTCTCTCTTAATCCCTTGTGATAATGCAAGAACCCAGCCAGGAATAGTATCAAAGCCACTCTGAAGGTCTTGTTTGTTGCTTTGTTTGTTTGTTGCTGGGTTTGCTTGTTTGCTTGTTTATGTATTATTGGGTACATGTGTATATATGATGTTTGTATATACATGTATGCACGTGAGTGGAAGTGTGCATGTGGCAAAGACCATGTAGGAAGGCCAATTGTTAGGTGTTGGTTCTCTCCTTCCTCGATGGGGGTCCAGGGATTGAGTTCAGGTTGTGGAGCTTACACAGGAGTCATCTCACTGGCTCAGTATTGAAGGTCTTAATGATGTAGACCAGGAGCAGAACTGGACTTTCCCCAGATAGTAAGAGAAAACAAGACTGGCTATGATATCAGTCATTGCTTCAATGGCCCTGCTTATTTTTATGATGAATGTCTCAAATGGAAGCTAGTGCTAACCAGACTAGCATGTAATTTCTGTCTCCTTTTGCTCTTGATTTATGGTAGATAGGCATAGAAACTGGTTGGGAACATGGCTACACTCACTCCTTCATTTCACATCTATTTCTTAGCTAATCTGCTGTGCAGTGGCCCTGAGCTTTCATTAAGATAAGGGATAGAGTAGCCTCAAGAAGAAACCTGATAAAACCAACTGGTGAGGCTGAGGAAGACAATTTCGGGAGAGGTGAGAAGGAGTCTTTGGAGCTAGTGGACTTGATACTGATTTTCAGTGATTATTTTGGTTTAGATTTACATGCATGAGCAAAGCTGCACAACATTCCAGGCGCACTAAGCCCTGAAAACTTCCTCTGCTTTCTTAGAAGGATTTTCATCCAAAACCTCACTGTGGGCTAGATTTCACTGAGGATTATCTATAGCATCAAAGGAAATGATGCCACAGACCTTGGTTATTCTAATTTTTCCTATGAATTACCCGTGTCTTGTAACCCTTTCCAACAATACTTCTAAATTACATTTACCAAGAGGAGTGATTGAATGCTATAATAGTCAAAGGCCCCTTGTTCCTTAAAGTCAGCTTGGCTTTATAGCAGCCCATTTATACTGAACATAATCAGTACTCACTGTCCTGTCTATCACTAGGATAGTGGAAATTTGTATGAATAATAACACTTTGCAATCAAAGAAGACACAATAAATCTGATGCCCCCCACAAAATGGACCAAGCAGCTATAACCACCCATCTTCTTAGCCAGTCCCACCCATGCACATTCAGATATTCTCAATCTTACTTACACAAAAGCCGTGGTAAAGATTTCTGAAGCTACTTTCTGCCAAGACGACTTGAGACAGATCAATTGTTTCAAAATGTGCAAACTGGAAAGACATAGGAGGAGAATGGTGAGAAGCCATTGGATTCATTAGCACAAATAGACATTGAAATGTACACACACACACACACACACACACACACACACTGACAAACTTTTTTTGGCAGTAATGACCCAATCATTTATTTGTCTTGAGGGATAGGATTTACATAGTAACAGGATTTTTGTAGATATAGCAAGTATAAAACTAAATAAAAATACAGCTTTCCTACAACTTTTCCATGGGCTTGTAGTAAGCCTTAGGTTGGTCAGTTCAGACTTATCAAAATATAAATTTAAGGCTAGATAAAATGGCAAAATATAGCCTACCTGGGTAACTTGTAGTATAAATTATGATTTAATTTATTGTGTTGGCAGCCTTTGACTATCTTGTCACATCCAGTTTGGAGCTTGTATCTCCTGGTATAATTGATGTGGTAGTTGTTGCCCAGGTATCAGCTGGAAATCAGTACTATCAGAAGGACAGGCTGTTTGATCACTATGTAACTTGTGCTGTCATGCAAGACTCCATGTTCAGAATAGCCCAGGACTTGGTTTAATGCTTTGTTATTGTCATCTTTAAATTCCTGATCATTTGATCTTTGGGCTTGTGTTTTGTAAATAAAGCCCAATAAGACCATGGGCTGTGCACATGTACATAGGAGACACGTATCATCTGCATGTCCACCCTGTGTCGTGGCATACTAATTTGTCATAGGCCTGAGTTTAGAATTCTAGTGAATTCCATCATAGTAGTAATGCAAGTACAAAGTGTGATATGTTTATGACAGAGCAGGCAGGCATACTGACAGTCCACACAGTCTGCTGGAGTTAGAACTTGCTACAAACATGAAGAAAAGGTAATGTTTTTTAGGAAACAAGCAACCAGGAAGCTCTGTTCTATTAATTCTTATTCATGTACTTATCCTGAGGTTATGCAACCATTTATGCTGAAAAGGATGACAATGAAGGAAAAGGAAAGCTCAGGCAAGCTACTGTTCCTTTTAATAGGCAGGACATGAAAATATAACAAAGAGAAGAAAAAGAACTAGTTTTGGATATTGCTGAAAACAAAATACATGTGCATGTATGAGCTGCTACCACAAATTATATCATGATGGTTGTTCTTTCTATAGGTTAAATGCTCTTATATTTACATTTAAAACTTGAGTGGTAGAAAAGAAAATTAAATGTCAAATCTCATGCTAGTTTTTTTTCTTTTTAGAATAACATTAAATATCAAATTAAAACACCATAAATCAACACTTTAGATTTTAGTATAAATATGAAACATTTTATGTTAGTACCACTAATGACATTTTTTCTGGGTTTTGAATAAAGTGTTCTGTTCTTTCATTGCACTGGGCCCAAGGAATTAGGTAGGCACCTCTGGATACAGAAACTAACCAGAATCCAGACAAAGGAAGATATAGGAAAGGGGAAAGAAAAATACTACCATATATTTGTGTAAGGGGATTAGTTAAAAGAAGAATAAATGGTTTTAACTTCTACTCTAATAGCTTCCTCTGCACCCACCCATTTCTTGGCCCCCACCCATTGTAGCATAGATGAAAGGGTTCTATAATTACCGAGGGGTGGTGTGCGAAGTAGAACCTCTGTCCTTGAATCAGACAGTATCTAAGCTTCCATCTTCTGAAGGACTTACAGTTCTTTAGCAGTGGTCCTTCCTTCAGTATTTTCTGAAAGACAGAAGCAGAGCAGTAGGTTGGTTAGACGAACTTGTGAGGCAGTTGATTTGTTCTCTCAGGTAAGAAAACTACCTATCTGAAAAAGTCTATCTCTTCTACATGGCTGATGAATAATAGCCTGTAGGCCAGGCAAGAACACAAGGAAATTAGTTCCACCAGAAAAGGCATTGGATGCCTGTCTATAAAACACTCATAACGACATAGCCTTCGATTTTCTTAGGATAGTTTGCTCAAAAGCTATGGAAAACATTTCCATGTGTGTGCAGGGTAGAAAGAAAAGCATGTATGTGTAAAGAGAAAAATGACAATCCCGAGAAAGAGCGGGTAGCAGTGGAGAAGGCTAATAAGTCCAATAAAGGCTGATTTTCCTAAACTATTAGTGTCAGAGATAGAACCTTCCAATCAGCTCTTTTAGGAAATTCTTCTTAGAATATTAAGTTGGATTATGTCTCTCCACTGCTCACAAGCGTCCAATAGCTTCCTAATATTTTTAGAACCAAATATAAATTCCTTATCAAGGCCTTCTGGGGATTCATGAACTGGTGACGGAGCAAGCATAAAAAGGACTCCAAAAGACAATGACCTTCTGATTGCTTTCTTTATTTAGCACATGATCTGGCCAAAGATTTTCCAGTTATTGCTCAACACACCGATCCTACCGGATACAGAGACCACTTATCATTTTTTGCCACGGGAGACATGCTTGGTTATGTTATAGAAAACAAACATAAAGACTGCCATAAGTACTCACACTCACACTAATCTGGAACCAAACCTATACTTATTGATCAAAGAGTGAGACACTTAAATTCACCAAATCAACCCCCCTTTTTTTACTGTAAAGTCTTCATCATCTAATTTACTATTGAATGCCTTTAATAGCAAATTAGAATTTACTATTAAATGACTAATGAAGTGTTTTATTTAGCCTAACTAGTGCATCTTAAAAGTTTAAATTAATTGATAATGTTTTAAAGGTTTGTGTTTCCAGAAAAATGCAGTTACTTGTATCTTTTATTTACTTTTTTTTAAAAAAAGCAGAATAGCTACCAAAAGTAGGTCTATGTTCTTGCATAGGAACACTTAGCTGGAACCCTGTAGCAGCTGCCACCTTCAGATGGAATATCTGACTACACCGAACAATTGGATGTGAGACTCTAAGTAAGTATTGGGAGGGTATATTGCTCAGTGGTACAGTGCTTGTATCGCATGCAGGAGTTCCTATGCTCAACCCCCAGCACCACAATCAATTCATTAATAGGAAAAACGAAGCTAAAAATGGGGCAGAATGAATAAGAATAAGGTATAACGACATATATGAGTGAAAATATCGTAATGAAATCCATTATTTTTATGTTGATTTAAAATATTAATAAAAGCCAATTGTCCTGGTAACTAGAAACAGGCCACTGCAAGCAGATGTATTAAGGGGAAGGAGATAGAAAATGAAAGTAGAGCCTGAGAATACAGGGAATGAAAAGGGGTTCGAGCACCAAGTGGATAGAGGATAGTAAAGTGATGGGGTTGTAGAAGGCTAAACTAAAATGAAGGAGATACAGAAAAGCTATGTGGAAATCTATGCTCTCCAAACGCAAGCAAAAGTTGTAGTTAGTAGAACTAGAGGAGTTAGTAGAACACAGGCAACATGAAAGGAGAGGGGGGATTTCCTAAGGTTCAAGGTTTAAGTGTTGACAGAGGACTTGGTGATAGGAGACAGTACAGCATGGTCCAAACTAAGGGTATGTGTAGAAACTTTACAGAAATTTGCTAGTTTGTAAGTTAATTAAATACATAATATAAAAAAAGGAGATCAAGCAGGAAGTATCCTGCACGGGTAGATGATGCTCCTAGAAGACCTGGGGTGCAAAATGAAAACTTGATTAACCACCATAAACTGTCGGTAAGATCGTTCACTTTGGATGCATGATATAGAGAAATCAACCTTAAGTGACCAGGAAACACACACTCGCTCAATGCTTTCAAGTTTAGATGGTATAAGATGGAGTAATAAAAGCTGCTGGGGAGAAAAAGACATCAACTGTCTAACCTAGCTATTCTGCCAGCTATTAAATTGACCTGCATGGCAAGATATGTTCACTGGTGCAGTAGTTGAATTAAAGTTACAAAATTAACGAACTACTTTTTGATTAGACGTAAGGCCTGTTACATACATACCAGGGAATTTACATCTGGTGCTGCAAATCTAGTGGCTATTTCTTCTTCCCCTTTTTTCAGTTTAAAGACCTGCAACTCAGGTTACCAGGTATCTAAATATTTGCTTTCTTTTCTGAAAAGCACCTATGCTTTTATTAAATGTACCATTAAACTAAGATGTTTCACATTGTAATCTGGGTATATAGTATCTCCAGATACTTCATATTTTAGCTTAGGCATTTGCCAACTATTTTGTGATATTAGTATAAGCAAGAAGAAAAAATAACTACGTTTCTCAAATTCCTATTTTATCTATCCTTAGACAACATCCTTTTGCTCAGAAAACCATCCTGAGTACAGTGGTTATTCCAGGGCCTCTGTTAGTGCTGGGAACAGGATCTGGCTCCTCTGAAAGAGCATAAAGTGTTTGTAACTGTTGAGCCATCTCTTTATCTTAACCCACTCTTAATAACCCAGCATCCAACCCCAAGTCCAGAGACCTAAGTCAAACCCCACTATTAAGGAGACATTAGAGATAGCAAGCCTATGTAGGAGTAAAGTCTTCTGTATGTCACTGCAACTAATCAGAAATCAGAAATGGATTATGATGAGTTAAGATGTATATTGCAACCCTATAGCCAGCATCAAGAAAGTAACTTTATAATTTTATATATACATATACTACATAAGGACCAGAATGGCTAAAATCCAAAATACCAGTAGCATCAAATGGTATTAGGGATATAATGTAATAAAAACTGTCATTCATTTTTTGTTAGGAATGCAAAATGCTATAGGCAATTTGAAAGACAGTTTGTCAGTTTCTTTTTTTTTTTACAGTTTTTTTTCTTTTTTTTTATTGGATGATTTATTTACATTTCCTATGTTGTCCCCTTACCCCATCCCCCACCATCCCCTCGGAACCCCCAATCCCCTCGCCCCTCCTCCTTCTTCTCTGTGGATGTAACCTCTATCTACACCCCCCCACTCCCACCTCCCCACCCTCAAAATTCCCACCCCCTGGGGCATCCAGCCTTCATGAGGTCAAGGTTCTCTTCTTCCACCTATGCCCAGCAGGGCCCTCCACTTTTACATATTCAGCTGAAGCCCTGGATCCCCCCCTAAGTTTGTCAGTTTCTTGCAAACTCAATGTGTGATCCAGCAATAGCAATCCTTGGAACATACCTAATATGCTGAAAACTTAAATCGCTGCAAAAATTTACACACAAATGTCCGTAGAAGCTTTATCCATAATGACAAGTCCTGGTTTATTATATGATGTTTTGCAATTTTTCAATGTGAGCAGCTAGTGGGGGAAAAAGAAAGCTTTTGAAGGCAAAGAAAATAGTTTGCAAGCTATGGTTAGCTGCCAGGGAGAGTTTGCAAGTCCTGAATTACAACTGCTATCACTTCTGATGAGGTTACAGTAAGTTTAGAGTTCATGTATAAGACGTCTAGTCATCTAAGACACACATACCATGTTGGAGGCAGATAATGCTAATGTAATTTGTGTACAGTAGGGATAATGACTCAACAAGGATTTCTTACTGTCTAAATATAGCCTCTATATCATCAACTCTTGGACATCTATGAATACTCAAACCTGGATATTTAAGGACTAAAAGTGGCTTTCTAAACTCTGTTCTCCTTAGAGAAATGTAACATACTAACCCAATCATTGTTTTTGAACAAATTGTTATTTATTTATTTATTTATTTTTATTAATCATTTTATTTGTTTACATTTCAAATGTTATCCCCTTTCCTGGTCCCCCCCACAGAAACCCCCTATCACATCCCCCTCCCCCTGCTTCTATGAGGGTGCTCCCCGTCCACCCACCCACCCACTCCTGCCTCCCTGCCGTCACATTCTCCTACACTGGGGTATCAAGCCTTCACAGGACCAACGGCCTCTTCTCTTATTGATGCTGGACAAGGTCATCCTCTGCTCTATATGCGGCTGGAGCCATGGGTCCCTCCATGTGTACTGTTTGGTAGGTGGTTTTGTCCCTGGGATCTCTGGGGGATGTGATTGGTTGATATTGTTCTCCTATGGGGTTGTAATCCCCTTCGGCTCCTTCAGTCCTTCCCCTTATTTATTTATTTATTCATTTATTTTTAAAAAGCAACCTCTGGATGATCGATTGAACAGATAGAAGCAAATTTCAGGAGATTTCTACAAGTCTGTGAGCTACGTGCCTTAAAGACAACTTTTCCCTCCTATCAAACTGAACAAAGGTCTCCTGGGGAAACTGAAAGAAGCAAACAAAGGCAGCAAATCCTTCAGATAAAGCTTAGGAAGGGGTGAGCTCCCAGGAGAACCTCCCAGTGCTTCTGAGCCACGGGTGTTAGCAGACCACACATCTCAGTGCCCTCTCTGTGCAGCCATGCACTGTATTGTCTCCAATTTCCAGATAGCAAATCTGAAGGCTTGGACATGCTCCACTACTTTTCTCAACCTGCAATTACAAAAAATGTTGGTGGACTCTGCTTTTTCTCCCTCTGACAAGGAAAGTGGGAATGCCTGGTTAATTAGTATGTATACAACAGAGGGAAGCGGAGTCCCACCCAACCCCCCAACTAAACTTTATCCTAAAAGACCACAGATAGCTCAGAGTTAGATTGTGCGCTGTGTACAGGAGAACTGAGCTAATGAGCTCAAGGGGCAACTAGCCATCCTTATCATTCTAGAGACATAATGTTCTGTGGTGAACATGAAGGAAGTTCTGCTTTTTTAAAAAATAACAGTCTAAGGGTGACTGAAAAACTAATTAGAATTCACATTTATGCAGCATTTTCTAGTGTGAATCTGTCCTATACGGGAAAATCCATAAACTT